GAGAGAGAGAGAGAGAGAGAGAGAGAGAGAGAGAGAGAGAGAGAGAGGAGATGCAGTAAGCTTCAGCCGAGTAGCCATGTCCTGGATAGTGTGGGTGCTGCTGCATCCACTCACCAGACCAGGAACCCAGAAGCTACCTCCCATTTCTCCGCTGCCCTCACACTCTCTCCTTTGGGGACAGAGTCCATTTTTTATGTCTGGGACTTAAGATCTTTTTCTTCAGGCATCTGTCCACCTGGATCCTCATCTAGTGTCCTCGGTTCCCTGGCCCTGGGCTTCTACAAGAGGTCTGTGTCTACAATCTGTATCTGCTATTCCAGCCTTTATTCTGTGCTCCTGACTTCTACAACTTTCTTTTTAGATTTAGTTATTTTATATGGATATGTGTTTTGCCTACATGAATGTATATTCACCACATATGTACCTGGTTCCTGCAGAAGTCAGAAGAGGGCATCAACTCTCCCGGACCTGGAGTTAGAGACAGTTGTGAGCCCCTATGTGGGTGCTGGGAACTGAACCCGGATCCTCTGCAAGAACAAGTGCTTCTAACCTTTGTGCCATCTCTCCAGCCTCTTTTCCTAGTTTTGATGGTTTGTTTGTTTTGACTTTTTTTTTTTTGAAACAGGATCTCATGTAGCCAGGCTGGCCACAGACTTGCCATGTAATTGATGATTGCCTTGAGATATTGCCATTCTAGAGACATCTGAAGATTTCAAGACACAATATATTAGCTCTCCTACCTTAGCAATCTTCCTACCACTTGGAACTACTAAGTATTGGTACTTTGTAACCATTTCCCTAAAGATATTCTTTATCTGTCAAGATCTATTTCAATTCTCAAGCTTTTAAAAGCCTATGAGATCCTTTGGAGGGAGAAAGTACATTTTTATAATAAGCTTGTTCAAACCCTCTCCCCAGCTGCTACTATCTATGGGCTGAAGCCTAAATTCCTAACATAGGCTCTAGGACCTAAAACTTCAGTGTGTCTGTATTCACCTTCCTAGAAACTTTTTCCTTTTCTTGCACACCTAGTACTACATGACACTCACCTGTTATTTCAGAACGCAGCTCATGAGCTTACTCTTTAATGAGTCTTTTAAATAGTTAAAAGGTTTTTAAATTTTAAATTCTATTGCATGTATACATGGGTGTTTTGGCAGCATATGCATCTGTGCACCACTTCATGCCTAGTATTTGCAGAGAACAGAAGAGGGAGCTGGATCCCCTGGAACTGGAGTTACTGATGGTTATGTCATTGTGAACTGCTGGGAATTAAACTCGGGGCCTCTAGAAGCGCATCCGGTGCTCTTAACCACTGAGCCATCTCTCCGGCTCCCTTTTATGAATCTTCTCCTGCTTTCACATCTGTCTCTGGGGTTCTCCTTTTCTTTACCTCCCAAACCTCATGTAGAGTTGTTCTGTGAACTTGCTGCAATCTCACTCATGTAATGACCTTAAAGACTAGAGCTGTGTTACTCTTCAGTGTGATCTTTAACTTGACTTAAAAAACAAACAAGCAAATACCACAGACTGGAAACAGATACCTCTCCAGTGTGATCTTTCTTAGTGCGTGGTGCAGTGTTGATACTCTGTACATACTGGCTCAGTAAACGGACAGTGCTGAGCCTCACTTAGACCTTGATGCCATAGTTCCACCATCCTCACAGTCGCGTCTAACCTGGTAAAGGGGAAAGCTATGGTCCTAGCCTGAATCAATCCCTGCTGTGGTGGTTTGAGTATGCTTGGCCCAGGGAGCGGCACTATAGGAAGTGTGGCCTTGTTGGAGGAATGTGTCACTGTGGGAGTGGGCTTTGAGACCCTCCTCCTAGCCACATGGGAGCCAGTCTTCTCCTGTTTGCCTTTGGAACAATAAATAGAATTCCCAGCTCCTCCAGCAACATGCCTTTCCTGGATGCTGTCATGCTCCAATCTTGATGATAATACCTCAGAACCTATAAGCCAGCCCCAATTAAATGTTGTCCTTTATAAGAGTTGCCTTGATCATGGTGTCTGTTCACAGCAGTGAAACCCTAACTAAGACGCCTGTTCTGTCTCTTTATCTTTTTACACCTTGATCCAGTTACTTATCTTCTTCGGGGTATAATTCTCTCAGTGCTGTGTGTACTTACCTCGGTTTTGTTGTATTAAAACAGGGCACACGCTATGTACCCAGGATCAGGTCCTCAGCACAGAAAGTGCTCAGCAAAGGCTTGCCTCCAGCCATGTTGATTGAATCACACTCTGAGCCCTTTGCTCTGACCTAACACAAATTAACCCTGCCAGATTCCATCTTACCAGGCAGGGGCCCAAGCCTTCTCCATAACAGAAATAGTGAACAACACTGAGAAACAATAGAATTACAAGGCTTGGATTGAAAACCATCTGTAAATTATATGACTTTAGGCAAGTACATTAGTGTCCTTGAATTATGAGATCACATAGGTAAAACAGAAAAACAGTGGGCATACTGGTGATCCCAGCATTTGAGGGGCAGGCAAAGGAAGGATTGTATAAATTTGAGACTAGCCTCAGGTGCATAGTGAATTTCAGTTGGCCTGCTGAATAGGAGCCCATTACAAAGAAGGGATGGATGTGAAGTGGAGAAAGAGCAGTAAGAAGGAAGAGGAGAAGGAAGAAGGAGAGGGAGGAACAGGTTTAGTTTTTAAGTAACATCCCTCCCCTTTTTGCAGAGGTTGAGCTTCCGGCCTCAAGCAGGAACTAATTGGCTTCCCCTCCCTAACAAGCCCAGCTGATCACACCCAGTCACCTCTTGAACTCGTGTCAGTCGGGCTTCTGTGGCTGCCAGCGTGGTATTCCTCTCGTATAAGAGCTTCTTAAGTCGAATCAGCTCCACGTTCTCCTTAATGGAAGCTCTGCAGACAGAAGACACTAATTGTTCCGTCAGGGCCAAGACCTCCTCCTGTTACGCACCCTGCCCCGCCCACAACACATTGGAAGTAGACAGTCTGCAAAATAGCCTTCCTCCTGTTTTTAACTGTGACACCTGAGACCTGAAGACCACCAACCTTAAACCTTTACTTCTAAGAAAAAATAGGAACTTGTTTTTTGTTTTTTTTTTTTTAAATTTATGGTTCTTACAGTTTCTCAGAAGTCTTACAGAGTCCAACTAAATATATGCTTTATTTCCTTAGAAACATAAATATAGACACAATGGAAGGTTATTATTATTTCCAAACCTTTGGGATGATTTTTCCAGGCATTTGATTTAATTTACATTTTTGAGACAATCTCTCTAGATAGACCAAGCTGGCCTTTTTTTCTTTTTAAAAAATAATTTAGAGGGGATGATGGCATATATATTTAACAGAACATTTTATTGGATATTTTATTTACATTTCAGATGTCATCCCCTTTCCCCATTTCCCCTCCCTAGAACCTCCGAATCTCATCCCCCCCATTTGCTTTTATACCATTTTAATTAAATGCAAGTATTAAGGTCAGTTCTAGGTTGAAGGACTAGAAATACAATAGGTGCAAATAGTCAAGGAACAAGCAAGACAATAAACACAAATAGTCAAAGAACAAGCAAGACAATAAACACAATTCCATGAACACTCCTGTGATCAATGTTTCTAAGGGCTTATCAGAATGATCAAAATATCTGCGCTAACTTCCCTGTCCTAGCCCAAAGTCATTTTAATGTCTGAAGCCTACTTCCTTGTTTTAGCCGAAGATTTAGATTCCTGCCTGAAATTACTTCTTTGTTCTAGCCTAACGTCAGATTCCTGCCTGAAGCTCACTTCCTTGTCCTTAGCCAATCTCCTATTCCTGCCAAGTGGCCCATTTCCTTGCCCTTGGCCCTTGTCAGATTCTTGGATGGCATATATTTTTAATCCTAGCACTCAAATTTGGGAGGCAGAGGCAGGCAGATATCTGAGTTGGAGGCCAGCTCAGTCTACAAATATATTTCTAGGACAGCCAGAGTCTTGAAAAGCAAAACCAAAATATAACAAAGTATTTGATGGCACACACCTTTAATCTCAGCACTTTGGAGGAAGAGGCTAGCAGATCTCCTTGAGTTCAAGGTCAGCCTTGTCTGCAAAGCAAGTTCCAAGGCAGCCAGAGCTACACTACTTAGTAAAACCCTGTCCCAAAAATAGACAGACAGACAGACAGACAGACAGACAGACAGACAGAGGTTTAAAAAATTTAGGAAGTATTTAGGCTCACTCTGTTTCAGTGACTCTCACTCCTAGCTAGTTATGAATGAGATCTTTAAAATTACATTGCTGCTGAGACTCCACCTCCAAGTCATTAAGTATGGGGGCTAAGTGTTTAGTTTTTTTTTTTTTTTAAGACTTTATTTATATATATGATGAATACAATGTAGCTGTCTTCAGACCCACCAGAAGAGGGCATCAGATACCATTACAAATCGTTGTGAGCCATCATGTGGTTGCTGGGAATTGAACTCAGGACCTCTGGAAGAGCAGTCAGTGCTCTTAACCGCTGAGCCATTTCTCCAGCCCAGTGTTTAGTGTTTAAGGATCTCCACAGACTTGGGTTTGCAGTTCAGTGGGCAGAGAGAAGGACTTCCGAGCACACAGGAGATCCCAAGTTTGGTCCCTGGCACTGTGTGAACCAGATGTGGTGGTAAATGGCTGTGATCCCAGTGCTTGGCAGGGAGTGGCAGGAGGATCAGAGGTTCAGGATTACCCTCTCCACCAAAATGAGTTTGGACCAGCCTGAGTTACATGAAACCCTGTCTCAAACAGCAAAATAAAAAAAAAAAAAATTCACTGGACTGTCTGTTATCCAGCCTAAGGTAGCAGATGAAGGAGGGTTGTTATCAAGTAATGGGAACCTGGTAGAATCCTAAATGCATGTGTTTATGAGAAAGAGCTGTATCTGTATAGTTTCAGTTATACAGTACTTTGGGGGAAAGGCAAAACTCTATACAGAGAGACCAGAAGGATCAGTAGCATCAGCAGTTGGGAAAGGAGACACACACAGGCAGAGCACAGGGGATTTCTGGTACAGTGGATACACTGTGATACATAATGGCAGATCCATGTAATTACACACTTGCCCAAACTCTGAGTATTCACAACAGCAAGGATGAACTTTAACATCAACTGTTGCCTCTGCCTTAATGTTTGTTCATTTTTAAATTTTTTTCTCCTTTTTTTTTGGCCTGCCTGGAATGCCCTAGTCTAGGCTGGCTTTGAACTCATAAAGATGCACCTGTCTCTACGTCTCATGTTCTGGGATTAAAGGTGTGTGCTTCTAGTTCTGGTTGTTAGCTCATATTTGTAATAAAGACACCACTTCTGGTTCAGTGGTAAAGAGTACTTTCTGCTCTCGGAAAGACAGAGTTCCAGAATAAACCAGCAGTCAGCCCCAAATCTAAGGGATATGGTACCCTCTTCTGGCCTCTTTGGGCACCATGCACACTCCCTGCAGGCAAAAATCATTTGTACACACATATGTGTACACATATTTATACATACATACATACATACATACATACATACATACATACATCTTTAAAAAATAAAGACCTGAAGAGCTGGCTTGGCTTGAAGGCACTTGTTGCTCTTGCAGAGGACTGGGGTTCAATTTCCAGCACCCACATGCTGACTCCAACCCCTTCTTCTGACCTCCACAGACACCAGGCACTCACATGGTGCAGACGTATGTGCAAGCAAAACATTCATACATGTGAAATGAAAATAAACCTGAATAAAAATTTAAATAAAAATAAACTAAAAAGGCTGAGGACAGGAGTATATGATACTTCCTATTAGATTTTGCTATGAAACTGAACAACTAAACAGTACAGTCTACTTTGTCTGTGTGTGTGTGTGTGTGTATACACTCATGCTCACACTCATTCTCTCTCTCTCTCTCTCTCTCTCTCTCTTTTTTTTTTTTGAGACAGGGTTTCTCTGTGTAGTCCTGGCTGTCCTGGAACTCACTCTGTAGACCAGGCTAGCCTCAAACTCTCGAACTCAGAAAGCCGCCTGCCTCTGCCTCCCAAGTGCTGGGATTAAAGGCGTGTGCCACCACCGCCCGGCGCTCACACTCATTCTCACACACAGGCATGTGGAAGTCAGAGGTTGATGCTGAGTATCTTCCTCTACTTTATATGACGAGACAAGCTCTCTCACAGAGAACCTTGACTAGGCCCTGAGCTCCAGGGAGTCCCTTGTATCCCACGCTGGGACTATAGGAACATGCTGCCACACCCAAGTTTTCCGTGGGTGCTGAGGTTCCAAACCCCAGTCTTCATGCTTGTATGACAAGCAGTTTACCGACTGGGCTAATCTCCCTAGACTGTTGTTTAATTAGATTTTTTTCTTTGCCAGGTGTGGTGAGTCTTGCCTTCAGTTCTAGCAACACCACACACACACACACACACACACACACACACACCACACACACACACACCAAGCCATGTGTTCTACTACTGAGCTAAATCCCCAACCCTTCTACCAGCAGGTAAAAAAAGGCACTTGCCACAGAAGTTGCATGGCTTAATTTCGATTTTTGGAACTTATGGTGGAATAAAAGAAGCAACTCCAGAAAGCTGTCTTCTGACCTCCACACACACACACCATCCCATGTGTGCACCTGGACTTGAACACACACCCTCAATACACACACATCACACACGCAATAATAATAAAAGTAAAATAAAAATTTTCAAAGGTGGGGCAGACATATGCAGGATTCCCTTTCTTCATTCCTTTCACCTTTCAGCTTGAGGACAATTTTAGGAGGGTTTAAAGGGAAAATGCTTCAGGGCAAGCAAGCTGCAATCTCAGCAGCTCCCCAAAGGAGAAAAATGGCAGAAGGAAAAATGCATGTCAACTTGAGTTAAGAGGACTTGGAGTGGCTGGAGAGATGGCTCAGAGGATAAGAGCACTGACTGCTCTTCCAGAGGTCCTTAGTTCAATTCCCAGCAACCACATGGCAGACTAACAAGTGTCTGTAACTCCAGTTCCAGAGCATCCATCTCTTTCTATATTAATTATTTAAAAATTACTAGCCAGGCAGTGGTGGCCTTTAATCCCATGACTCAGGAGGCAGAGACAGGCAGATCTCTGAGTTTCAGGTCCTCGTGGTCTACAGAGTAAGTTCCAGGACAGACAGCAAGGGCTACAGGGAGAAATTCACTTCTTCTCTTCCCCATCCCCTTTCTTTTTTTTTTTTTAATTTTTTTATTTGTTTTTAAACTTTATTTATTTTTTTCAAATCGTAATTTTTACTCATTCACACAGGGGTTATAAACACAAAAAGGCAGGACGTGGGGAAGGGGATGACACTGGAGCATGGGTGTTCAGGAGAAATACAGATATCTTTCAGAACGGGGTATCGGCTGGGTGAAGGTTCAGGGGACAGGTCACTATGACTCTGCCTATGACTTACTTGTCCTTATCTAAGTTGGTATTGTCTGCCAAGGCTACCTATTTACAAGGTCTATGACTACTCAGGCTGGTACATTTCCACGAAAGCTGCCTGTTTACAATAGCTTATAGCCATCTGTTTCAATGTTTTTACACAGAAACCCAAGACTTGATGTTAGTATACATGTATGACAGGCCTATTGCTGATTTTAGGCCTATGGCTGATTTTAGGCCTTCAGTGTATAATCAGGGATGCCCCTGACAACTCCTCCCTTTTCTAAGTATAGAAGGGCTGAGGTGATTCTAAACTTTCGAAGGCGGGGATAGAGGCCTGACCTCCAGTAATTGAAGGGGACCTTGTAATGGCTCCGGTGGCCCTGTCATTGTCCAGTGAGGCATGAGGGCCATACCCATCCCGATGTCTTTTTCCTGGAGAGGGGATACTTTTGACATCAACCCCTATGCAGTCAGGCTTGTCCCTCAGGGAGCCCAGATAGATATTTTTAACTTTTATTTATATTCCCTTGCAGTGCTTAGCCTTGCAGCCTAAGCAAGAATTCAGGTCGCCTGTCAGAGGGGGTTCTGGGTGGCCCCTCTCTGCTTGGTCTAGGGGTGGAAGTCCCCTCTTTTAGGTTGGGTGGAGATAGGTTTTGGGAACACCCTGGATAAAGTAACAACCTCACCTTGAGACTCGTGGTCCTCCATAGCTGACTTATGATAATGTATCTGAATAGGTTTTGCTACCAAATTATTTATCTGTTGTTTCACAGAGTTAGTCAGCCTATTTGAGGCCCAGGGACCAGAAGAAATAAGCACAGATAACCCAACTAATGGTCCCAAGATGAGAGGAAGTAGGGTTGACAACCATGGAGAGGGTGAAAACCCATTTTTTTTTGTTTTGTTTTGTTTTTTGAGACAGGGTTTCTCTGTGTAGCCCTGGCTGTCCTGGAACTCACTCTGTAGACCAGGCTGGCCTCAAACTCAGAAATCTGCCTTTTTCTGCCTCCCAAGTGCTGGGATTAAAGGCATGTGCCACCACCGCCCGGTCCCCCTCCCCTTTCTTAAGAGGAAGTCTCACTATGTCATCTGGAGTGCTGGGATTAAATACACATACCAGGTTATACGCCTAACTCACCCATTTCTTTATATGCAGGGGTTTTTGTTTTGGGGGTGTTTTGTTTTGGTTTGATTTTGAAACAGGGTTTCTCTGTGTAGCTCTGGCTGCCCTGGAACTCACTCTGTAGACTAGGCTGGCCTCGGACTCACAGATCTGCCTGCTGGAATTAAAGGCATGTGCAGCCGGGCGGTGGTGGCACACACCTTTAATCCCAGCACTTGGGAGGCAGAGAAAGGCGGATTTCTGAGTAGAAATTTCAGTAGGATTTCTGTAGACCAGCCTGGTCTACAGAGTGAGTTCCAGGACAGCCAGAACTACACAGAGAAACCCTGTCTTGAAAAACCAAAAATAAATAAATAAATAAATAAATAATAAATAAATAAATAAATAAATAAATAAATAAAGGCATGTGCAGTCACCACAACTGCTGCTTTTTAAATTTGCTAGGTACTCCTAGTGTAAAAGTAACTTTTATTTGCCTGATGTAATTGCCATCCTGGAGGCTTATGATTCAGTCTGCTAACCTAGGCCTAGTCCTGGCAGCTTCTAGTCTCAGTACAATCTAATCTAGGCCTAGAATGTTTTTGGCCTCTGAGACTTGCTGTTGAATAAGCTCACCCTTTCTTCTTCTTTCTGAACTCTGACTGGATAGTCAACTCAGCTGTTCTGGCTCAAACTTCTGTCCGTGACAACCGATTCAGTCTGGCTTCTCTCAGTTTCTTCTGAATTGCTCAAACTGTCAATCAGTTCTAATCTTCTTGCTCCTCATGCTCTGTCTCGTTCTGTCTTCATCTGTGTTTAGTCTAGCTTGTTCTCTTTGCAGCCTGTCTCTCTGTACAATTGTCCCAGTAAAAGTGCTTCTCCCTCTCCCTCTTTTTCTCCCTCCCCCTCTCCTCACTCTATTCTTCCTCTTCCTTTCCCCTCCCCCTATCTGTTTTGCCCCTTAAGTAGCTTTCCTTTCCTCTCCACATGAGCGTTGAACATATCCTATTTAGTTAAATTAGACATCATTTTCAAATTTCAATTAGACATCATTTTCAAACATGGGTGCTTCCTTGTACAAAGTAACTTTACCTTCATTGGGATTAAAGGTGTGTACTATGGGAGAGTCTGCATTTCAGCCAAAGGGAAATCTTTTTTTCCTCAGAAGTGAAGAAAAGCTGAGCTAAGAACCTTACTTTTTCTCTCAGTATTGTTTGAAGCACAGAATGTTAGCTCTCACCGAAGCTCTGCAGCCTTCTGAGCACACTCCTGTGAGCTTCTCTGTTCAAGCTTTTCAACTTTGGATGTTTTCTCAGGAGACCTGGAAATCTCTTCCACATGTGTAGAATCAGTCATCATAATGTGAGTACTGTTAGGCATGCAAAGACCAATGAATTTAGCCCAAATCAGGAACTGGCAGATAAAAACTATCCTGTTATAACTGAGGAAGATTAAATGCAAAAGGGAAAAGCAGAAACTTTTATAGGGTTTAGAACTCAGCTATTCACATACCAAAAAATTTTAGAAAGATTATCTGAGCAGTGGAGGTGCACACTAGTGCATAAGATGCTGAGGCAGGCGATCTCTGTGAGTTCGAGGCCAGCCTGGTCTACAAAGGGAGTTCCAGGGCAGTTAGGGCTACTCAGAGAAATCCTGCCCAGAAAAAAAAGTTAGAAAAGTCAGTTACCTTGGTGATATAGAGGATAATCTTACAAAATATAGCCTGCAAATATCAACATAGGAGATAAAAACTAAAAAGAGAGAATACTTTGTCATGAAAAAAGGACTTTTATTCTTCACTCAAAGGGTAGAGAACGCTTGTGTTTTAAGACTATAAATATGAATATAAATGGAAAATCTGACTGGAACTCACAGAGATCCGCCTGTCTGTGTGGGGACTAAGGGGATGTCCCTCCTCTTGGCTCTTGTTTTGTATTAAACAAAGATATTACCATTTTGACTTAGAGCTGCCTTTCATCTTCTCTGATTATTACAGAAATCAGCAACAGTCACCGACCCTTAAGTAATATATTCCCAACTAAAGCTTTGTGGCTAACAGCATGGGACCCACCAGAGGTACTCACAGTTGGCTGGGCTCACTGGTTATTTCAATTCTGGTGTTTTCATCCATCACATATTCTTTAAATGTGGGAGGGGCTGTATGACTGCGTCTGTCATTTGGCCCTGAAAGTTTAGGAAGGTTAAAAAAAAAAAAAAGGTGAAATGTAGCCATAGTACCTTCCAGAACACCACATGCTGAAACCAGGACACCAAGTGCTGACCACAGAGAGCCCTGAGACTTGGGAAATCCTTATGTGACAATTAGCCACAGGAGCACTTCTTAACTTCTACATAAAATCACAACTACAGATATCTTCAGCACCAAATACTGACTCAGTGAGTAGTACAAGTGGCAGGAAGAAAGACAAGCTGGTTCAAGCCAGAGCCTGTGTGTCCAGCCTGACCTGGTACATAACAGGTGGTCAATCATGCTCAAATGTATTCATTCATTCTGGTCGGTTGGTTGCCTGGATTTTTTTCAAGACAGGGTTTCTCTGTGTAGCTGTGGCTATCCTGGAACCAGGAATCCATGTAGACCAGGCTGGCGTTGAACTCAGAGAGATCCTCCAGCATCTGCCTCTGGAGTGCTGGGATTAAAGAATAAGTCCCCATGCCCTGGAATCCCGATTTTTTTAAATGTTTACTTTATTAACATACAACATGGCGGGTTCTGCAGTTGTACACATGGACCACTGCTTTGTGTGTCATCCTCTGCCTTCTCCATGCCATTCCCTGAAGGGTTTCCTTCCTTCCACCAGACAATATTACCTTTTGAGCACTTATCACTGTTACCTTCTTTTTACTCCCTCTCCCCTCATTTTTTTGTTTGTTGTTGTTTAGTTCTGTTTACTTTGGTGGTCCCAGAGATTTACCTACAGTCTCAAACATATTAAGCAAGCCCTCTGACACTGAGCTGCCTACTCGCAGTGAATTCAGAAATCTGGACCCAACTTCTCTCACGTGAGAGTTGGGGGATGGGGAAGGATTTTAGGATAGTGGAAAGGTGAGAAAACAAAGACGCTTCAGTCCCCCGGAGGGGGCGTGGTTCCAGCTTCACTCGCTGGGGTTTCTGCTGTAGTTACACACCAGTTGCGTGGGGCAGTCTGCGTCCCGCGTGGACTCGAGGCTGTGCACTGCCTGCCGCGGTCGAGGGACACAGGCGCTGCATATGCACTTTCCTCCCGGGGACTGGGGCACGAGGGGGCGCCGAGGGGCACGGGGACGCTGAGACCCACGGCCGCCTCCGCCTCGCAGGCTCCTGGAGCACAGCAAGTGTTCGTAGATCCGGCTGGGTAGTGGTGGATCGCTGCTCGTTTGTCCCTCGCCTGTAGCAAAACAAACCAGATGGGTTTCCCCCCACACCAACTCATGCCTAGGGCTTGATTCTAGCTGGGCAAGCCTCAGAGCTAGCCCCCAGCACTTATGTGTGAGGCTTACTATCGCTATATATTTGGCTTATATTTCCACATTGTAGTCCATCATTGAAGGAAGCCAGGGTCTTAAGACTCAAACAGGGTCGTAACCTGGAGACAGGAGCAGAGGCTGTAGAGGGATACCGCTTCCCGGCTTGTTCAGCCGGCTTGTTCAGTCCAGGACTAGCACCACCCCACCGGCAATGAGCTTGGCCCTCCCTCCTCAAACACCAACAAAATGCCCTCTAGCTAGATCTTTTTGTTTGTCTTTTTATTTTATTGCTGTTGTTTTTGTTTTGTTTTTCAGGGTTTCCGTGTAGCCCTGGCAGTTCTCACCCCACACCCAGGCTTGCTCCGCTACCACCGGCTTTTCTCCCACAGCTTCAACTCATCCAAGTGATTTGTTTACCCTCAGCTCTTTTGTCACCATGTCCATTCTACTTCTTTTTCTCTCTGCTCTGGACTCTTCCAGATGCCTCTAGGTATGCTCTCTCTTATCTCTGATTCACAATACCCTGCCCCGCCCGCCCCTCCCCCCCTAAGGGAGTGGCCATTCCAGCGGGTTTCCCCCCCCCCCCCCCCTCTCTCTCTCTCTCTCTCTCTCTCTCTCTCTCTCCTTTGTTTGTTTTTGTTTTTTTCGAGACAGGGTTTCTCTGTGTAGCCCTGGCTGTCCTGGAACTCACTCTTCTGGTGTGTCTAAAGACTGATACAGTGTATTCATATAAGTAAAATAAATACATCTTTGAAGAAATGAAATAAAAATAAAATAAAGTGAAATAAATATTTAAAAGGGGGTTTGGGTATTCTGGAACGCTCCTTAGATATCAGCCTCAGGAGCCAGAGGCAGGTAGAGGCACTGACTACTCTTCCAGAAGTCCTGAGTTCAATTCCCAACAACTACATGGTGGCTCACAACCATCTGTAATGAGATCCAATACCCTCGTCTGGTGTGTCTGAAGACAGCCACAGTGTATTCATATACATAAAACAAAAGAAAGGAAGAAAGAAAGAAAGAAAGAAAGAAAGAAAGAAAGAAAGAAAGAAAGAAAGAAAG